AAATGATCTGCAATATTGACCAAAATTATGAACAAAATTTCCGATTGGCCAATTCAAGCCTGCATTATAAAGCTGACTAGAATTTATGCCAGCTGGCCTGAATTATAAAAATTACACTGCGCAGCCTCTCAAAAATGCTGCGCAGTGTCCCATCCCTAGTTTTATTTATAATAATATTCATTAATAAATTGCTTTCTGTCATAAGTGAAAAGAAAAGATCCCCTGCATGGACAGATCGAATATTGTGGAGGAGTAAAGAAAACGACTGGTGTAAACAGTTAACATACAAGAGTCATATGGATATCACATTAAGTGATCATAAACCAGTCAGTTCAATTTTTGAATTAAAGGTTAGTGTTGAAATAACAATCATATTCAACGTTCAAGAGCTTTAATTTATCGTTTTTTGACGGTAGCTTAAAATATGTCCATCTGAACAACTTGACGATCCTGAACACGAAGATGATGAAATGATTATGTATAACAATGTGATTATATTGAAAGACAATGGGTGTGAGCAGGTGTGAATAATTAGTTTTATGATTAATAGCTGACTTATTTATCCTCTTCTAAATTATTATAGACAAAATAATGCATCTAGTCATTGTAACAAAGATGCGGAATAGATTGGTGTTATCTAATTAATTAGCTTTAAAGAGTATCCAGAATATGATGGTTTTTGTCTTAAAAAATGGCACAGTAATTCATATTATCAAAACTTGATAATTTAAATTAGGTAAATCTTTTTATTTTCCTTTAAAAAAGATGTTTACATGTGAATCAAATATTGTACTATTTTTATTCCAGTCTAACAAGTTTATTACCAGTATGAAGCTTTGTTGCCGCATGCTCTTTATGACTCCCAATATAGTTCGTACGTCTATTGGCCACTGATTATAAATACAGTCAAACTTCCTAAATGCAGCTTGTAAAGACCATTTTTGATAATATGCATCTTGGGCCAGAATTTGAGGCTGCATTTAGGGCGTCTCGCTGTATAAGATGAAATTAATTTGGGTGAACAGAATTTGGCCTTATGATAATGCTGATCTAATGAGAAGTATTGAACAAATATTGATCCAGAAGTGGGTGATTAAATTTTATGTTATAATAATATACATTATCCCAAATCTCTTTGCCCAAAATATCTTCTCACGATGGTAATAACCATATTCAAAGAGGCCAATGTCGGATCTTCTACATCCAGCTAACGAAAAATAAAAGTATGAATATAATTTATTATGAATATCATTAACAGAGGAAAGATTTATTTACCATACTGAGATTTTGTCTAATATCAATGCATTTTCTACAAACGCTTCTAAGAATTGCCATTTGATCTCGAGTCACAAGTTTATCAACTTTTAAAAACAATGCAAAAAGCCATTGAGATTTTGTAATCGTAATTCCACTGTCCAACCAATTGATATGATAAAAAAGTAAAGCAATTGTTGTAGGCTGCAGATGATAAAGATATGAGACTAGTTAAATTTATATATATATATATCACTTCAATTGTATTTCAAACCTGATCTAGTCGAGACATTATACTCAAAAAAGGTAACATCATCGCAGCCGCTTCATCAGTTTCAGTTTCTTCATTTTCTGAAACTTTTGTTGATGACTCATAATTCGGTATTTCTAATCCGTAACAAAATTTTAGCCATCCAGCTTCATCTTGTTTATTTGGTAATTTAACAGGTGGAAATAATGTTTTATTTGGCAAAGGTTTAATTCCTTTTGAAGTTTTGGCAACGTATCGTTGTAGCGTCTTAGTTTAGTAATAATTGTTCAATCGGGAGAAAAAAAAATTAATATAAGCCCATTACATGAAAATAAATATAAAAAATGCAAATATTTCAAACCTCTCTCAAGTTTTCAAATCTGCTTAAAAATGTATTTTCCCATTCTTCATTAATCAAACCAATTTCTCTATTTTTTTTGTCTTGTTCTTCGATCGAAATACTCTGACTATTCGCCCAACCTCTTTTAGCCCAGCTGGCAATTTTGACTTGTTTTGATTTATAACTGGTTGCAATATTGTTGTTTTGTATAGGTTTATTGGCAACAAAAAAGTCCGGGATTTTATTTGCTTCCAGTTGGACCATACGTAAATACTCTTCGCCGCTTGAAGGTGGCCTATACATGGATGTTGAAAATATTTGAAGTGATTTTCGAAAAATATTTCTGTATTACAGTATTAAAAGTTATTTTTTGTAGATCTACCATGATTTCCCGTGATAATTAACCAATCAAAATACAGTATATAATTTTTAAAATTTATTGTGTACTAATTTGAAGGTTATCATGTTTTAAATTAGATCCGAATAGAAACTACCCTCATTTTGGTCAGAAAAAGTTCTCAACATTTTGGTCAGTAATATATGGTATATCTCGAAAAACACAAGCAAACCCTATTATGGGCAAACATTAGCTAGAAGAGCTGAGACGATTTTTATTTAGTAGTCAAAATAAAAAAAGATTTATCAAATTTGGTTGGGTGGTCGTTGATATATCTTTGCTTAGATTTTGAAACCATATAGAACGCCTATCAATATCAAAACAGCTGCACAAAATTTAGTAAAAGTTTGAGTGCCAAGATTTTGGCACCCACTCAATCAAATTCAATGAATTTTTTTTATTTTGATTCTACAGAAGCATAGAAACAAAATAAAAAAAAATTATCAGATTTTGTTGAATGGCTGTTGA